TTATTTGGTTATATAACAGCTTCCTATTCTTAGTATTGAGATTTTCATTTTTTCGAATAAAATTTTCAATACATCGTGTGCTTATTTCACAGCCACAATTCGAGAATTTAATTTTATAATAAAGTTAAGGTTCTGAATAAAAAAAAGCACTGACTGTCGATTAACGATTTTTTTATGAAACATTTACAATATTTAGCGGTTAACAATTGTTTGATAATAAAAAAAATAAATAAATTTAATCACAATAATTTGTCAAAAGTGCGGCAATTTAGTTGCGACCAAAAATGATTGACAAATTCATTTATTAAACGTTTAATTGCAGATATTGACAAGCAATTAAAATGTAAGCACATACATACATACACTCATACACTGTGATTATGAGAAATGGCAATACAACAATATAAATAAAGAAAAGTAATTTATATTACACTGAAAAAATTCTGTTTAAAATTGTGGAAATAAATGTTGCAAAATGAATTCGGAATTGAATTCGAGCGACCGTACGAAATCAATGAAAGTAATTAAGGAGCATAAATAAAAAAAAAGGAGCCTAAAAAATTTGAAAAATAAATCGAATGCATTGAGGTCCTCAAACTGTTGCAAGGACAGTCTGTTGCTGTTGATTGGCAACATAGCGCAATTGAGTTTAAATCAACAAATAAAGTTTAATTTTCTCGAAAAAAAGTATAATTTTTTAAATTTACTGCAACTGTTGCAAATGAATTAGTAATAAACGTTTTTCACAGACAAAATATTTGCCTATTTGCCTATTTAATAGAAATGGTACTCGCATGTAACTGAAATTTATTATATTATAAATAATTGTAATAATTGTTCACCTTTCATAAGACCTATTATTTTATAATATAAAGAGTTATCCATACCCATTGATTCGAACGCGGAAATGAATACGCAGATAAATTAGTCAGGAAAGAAGCAGCCACATCGCTGATGTCTCTGACATAACATTTCTGTGGACTAGAACACAGTACTCTCCTCTCTCTCATAAAAGTAAAGCAGAACCAGCAAAAAAAGGAATATTGGGATAACCCATTAGGATTACCACAATCCCAATAACTTATTGGTACCTATAACAATAGGAGATACTATGATTGTATGTACTTAACAAAAGAAAAACTTAGAATTATCACAAACATTTAAACAGTACATTAAAATACCACTTTACGAGACTGAGCATATATACTGATTCAAACTGTGGATTCTGAGATGAGAATGAAGAGTCAACCGCACATGTACTGTTAGAATGCCCTATCCTAATGCACACACGGGATAGACTTCTGGGAAGTGGTAATAAAACTTTATAAAGTAGGCTCTATAGTACTTTCTATTAACGTAACAGAGCTTAGAAACTTTGAACCCAGAAGGAGAATACACCCTCTTTCGTAGCGCCATATCGAACTTCTGACGCTTTTAGCCATCTATATGTTATGCTCGAAAGACTCCAGTACTGTAATTTCTCCCATATAGGATACCTGTTTGATTTTGTATTTCACAGTTAATGACAAGGTCTAAACAATATATTGGTAAAATTATTTGATCTAGGTCTCATTTGCAATGGGTTTTATTTACTTTTACTTTTGAAAATGGAACGGATAACAGTCTAAAATTTTTGTTGGAAAATACAATTACGACTGCAGTGCTTCAATAACGTGTTATACTATAAGATGTTCCCATTGCTGGAGTCTAATTTCTCCGGTGCTGTAAGTTGACAAGAGATTTTCATAAATTTGAACATGATTAGAAACTATATCTACATACCGATATAGCTTAGTGCTCTACCATTTATTATTTTGAAACTTAATGCCTTATATCTCTAGAGTTTAGCTATATCGACATATAGGGTAGTTGAAAATTTTGCTCAAAGCATTGAAATTGATCGAATCGCGGTACCTAAGAAGATGGATTAATGCCACATTATCCTATTTTCTAGAACTTTGGCATAAGCCATGTACCAGAAATCATATTTCGCAATAAATTAAATTGAGATGACATGAAATCATTTTTATCTGAAATTTAATTTTCATTTCTTCACTCAGGATAATTACTTTTCTGTTTATGCAAATGTCGCCGCTCAACGCAAATAAGCGACCATGCAGCTGCGTACTTGTGTATGCATTTTGCATTGGTATGTGTGTGTCGGTGTGTGCGCGTATTTGTATTCAATAAAGCGTTAATTATTCGATTATGTACGGTTCATCCTTTATACCGTATCACCTTTTCACCTGCCGCACACGTCGTTGCCATATTTCAAACGTTTAATTGTTTGAACTTTGTGTCGACATTACATGCGACATTAATGCACTCCTCGCACTTTGTCATACCGGAAGTCACTCTACGTTTTTTTTGTTGTATTTTATTTTAATATTGGCATCATCGTCGGCTATGTTGGCACCAGCCATATTTGTGTGGCATGCACAGTTGCTTAACCAAATGTCAACAGTTGATAATTGAAAATTACTGTACAGTGGTTTCTATAATCATTATCAGAATTGTTTCTGTAGCCACTGAACCACTGGCAGTGTCCTTCCATTGTTGCTGCTGCTTTGTTGCTGTTGCTGTTATTGTTGCGTTTGTTGTAGTTTTTGGTTTTGATGTTGATACTCAAACTGTCGCCGAAGTGTTTAGTTAAGCGCTCAATTTAAATTGAATAACCGGTAAAGTATGAACCACACATTGTTGTGGCTGATTTTCAATGCATTAGATATTATGAATCCGAAACTGTCAGCTCCCTCATCAAAATTGGGGCTCATATAACTTTAATAGAATAACGATTATCAGAAGTTAATTGAAATTTAAGATACTTAAAATTAAAGAGTTTTGTGGAATAAGTTTAGGCACTTTTTAATTGATTAAATTTAATATTAAAAGTATATAAAGGAACCTTTGGTTTAAATAAGATGTTTTATAATTAAAAGATTAAATTGAATGTAAGCTATAAAATGTTTAAGATAAAAAAAATATAGTTTTTCTTTCAAGAATTTTACCTAATAATTTGCATTTCACATCACTGATCCATAGGACGGCATGGAGCTAAACTCGGCCTCATGCAGTGTGTGTCTAGCAGCTCTCGAAGAAATGACAACAAAACGCTTGATATGACTTTGTTCAGGTCTGCTCAGAACTAGGTTTAAGTTTCTATGGTTTCCCTTCTTCAATTCACTCGGCGATATCTCCAGCATTAGCCCGATTCTTGCCCTTGTAAATGCCTCTGGCTGGTTCTTCTTCTGCTACCCACTATAACGAGGTTTTTGTGGATTCAAAACGGCTTTTTAGCTAATTGAGGAGGACTCGTTATTTCTCCACCACAACTAACTAACATTTCAAATTAGAGCTATATACTAAAGATGAATTTTTCAATCAATTTCAAGGAAGCGTTTATGTATTGTAGTAGTTTGGAATAAGAAAGCAAATAGGTTACTGCAATATAATTTTTTTTCACAAAAATAATGTCACACTTTTATAAAATAATTAGTTATTGGTTGTATCTACAGAAACAATATAAAAATCGTGATGATTTTTGGCAATTTTCGTCAGTGGTTAGATTCATTTTTCTCTCGATTGATTTATGATAAATAAAATTGTCATATCTAAAAGAGTAAAAATCCACAAGTAACTGTTCAAAGACTATGGCATCCACAAAAGTGATAGTGTGATATTGGGACTGAAGTTGTGATAGTCGCGTGGTTTTTCCAAATATCGAAAATGTCAAGTAAACTTTCTATTCTGATGTTTATAATTATTTTTATAAATATATGGTAGTCAACACCTTAAGTAACTATAGCATTTAATTTGAAAATTTAAATGATATTTTCTATGTTCAATAAATTTTTTTGTTTATCATGTAAAGTAATCTCCAATCTTTCCGCCTAGGCTCCATACACAATAAATCTGCAACTTGTTAACATATTTGGTACACACTTTATTGCAACTAATATTACGTCGAAATTGACTGCGTAAAAACTTTATGCTTCAAATATAAATGTTAGTATGCAAACAGATTTACGGGTTTTTCTAGAAAATAAATATCAGACATGTGCCATTCTGAGAAACTACTGACTGTGTGCTTAAGCTCCTTATGGATTAATATTAGTGAAGCATGTAGTGGTTATATACTTAAGAATAGTTAAGCATAAGATTTTACAATGAATAATGTTTATTATTATATTTTTGGTGATCGCGAGAATAAGACTTTATTTATATTCATATATTTTTGTATTTGTAACCTAAAATATGAATGATATAGTAATCATATTTGAATTTTTAGCCTAGAGAATGGGATAAACTATTACATTATATATAAAAGCAATTGTGAGTGGAAAAGCTAACTAACGCTTGAAATATTAGATACTGGTTTATATAGGTAACTCTAGTTAGTTTTAATTCGTTCACAGCGTTATTCTTGCATTTTATTAGATTTGTTTGTTGGCAACTGAGTTTTTCAATTTCTAAATGTTCACTACGTTGTTCATCAATTTCATTTTGCTTACATTTTTTTTGAAATTTCTTATTACTGCACTTTTTCCATTCCGACTTCAAATGATGTGTCTATTGTGGTGTGGTTTTAATATAGCTAATACATTTCTGTATTTTTCCACGTGAAGTATGGGTGCTGTTCCCATATAATGTATGTGCTAAACTAATCTAAACGTGCATTGATATTTTATGTGGTCATTATTGGATAGAGAAGGCATGTTAAACCAATTAATACCAATCGTATATCTTAAACTCAAAATATTGTGTAAACTTTACTATAACTTCACTTTTGTTCCCAAATTTTATTCTTATTGTTCTCTTTTTTATTTTTTAAGAACTAAGTGAATATGCTATTTTATATCATACAAATAGATAGTATCTAAACCAGGAAGTAAAGCAAACATTTCGAAATTCAATTTCTTACATAAATAATAATTATTATTAATTACATAAATTTAATAAAATGATTTGACAAAATACCAATATCCACTTCTGATGATAAATCAAATTTCAAACGAATTACATGGCGCACAAATGCACCTTAATTAGGGATTCATTTTGCCGCATCATCGCCACTTGCTGAAAAATCAAAATCACTCTCGCTTGAAGCAGCTGTAACAGGAGCTGCAGCACCACTGGCATTAGCAGAGCCAGCTGCTTTTACGCTTGAGCTATCATCCGTTTCACTGCTGTCAACAAAATTAACGCGTTTTTTCCTTTTCTGCGCATCATTAGACATTGCGTGTTTGTCGACTGATGAGGACAATATCGATGTGGGCTTAATTACTTTAGAAGTTGCGGGAACACCACTTGCTGAAAGACTGTCAGCAATACCAGTAACATTCTGATCATTAGCTTCATCAACAGCATCAATACCAGCAGAATCTGGAGCACTAGCAGCGGCGTAGTCAGTAGTTGTATCAAGTGGTGCTGGGGGTTGGTCAATTGCAATTGACTCAGCTGTTATCGCTGGCTCAGATGGTGGCATTATATCAGATTGGCCGGTCTGTTCAGCATATGCTGCCGAGTAGTCATAATTTGCACTCTGCTGATTCATATCGTCATACGTTGCTTGCGGTTCGTAACCTTGCGCCGCATAGGCATCTTGCATTTCGGCATATTGTTGCTGAGTGGCATCAGGAGTGTATTCTCCTGTCGTTTCATCGTATGTATAACCCGGGTAGGCATTAGGATCATAGGCTTGATTGTACTGACTTGCGTCATAGTTGGCATAACTCATGTTTGCATAATCTTGCTGCATTTCATTTGCTGCCATTGGGCTCGCATCAGCCGCATATTGTGCATAATCTGCTGCACTATCAATATTTTCACTATAACTATTCTCTACCACTTGTGGATATACTTCAGCATTAGTTGCATCTCCAATGGTGGCATATGTTGGATCATTGCTGTTATCTGTATTGTCTTGATTGTAGCTCACCGAGCTTTGTGTGTTGCCTTCATTAATTTCAGCACCGTACTCTACACTAGCATAAGTTGCAATATCGGCACTTTGTTCCTCATTTGCATGCAGTGCGTTATTATCACCGGAAATCTCCTGTTGGGCAGTAGCAGTTTGCGCCTTTGCTACTAGGTCCTCTATTAAACCTTGTGCAGGGGTACGTAAGTGCTGACTTTCGGCAGTAAATGGAGGATTGAGTAATTCCCCATAAATGGCATTTTCAATATTCTCAATATTCATTTGGGATTTGGAGGATTGATTACCTGACTGCTCGTTTGTTGAAGGTGAAATTTGATTTTCGTTGGTGTAATTTGTTGTCGCATAATTTGTGCGTGAAATGTCACTAAATCCATTGGAAAGATTCTCGTTATATGTTTTAGCGCTAATGTGTGAGTTTTGACTTAGGTACCCAGTGTTGTTGTTGTTGTTGCCGTTGTCTGTGAATTTTTGTTTGTCCCTCTCGGGTGTGTGCCAAGATTGTGTCATTTGCTGTTCACTTGGCGATTGCCAAGTCAAATCGATTTTCTGTCTAATATTGGAAGCGTCGTCAACAACTGTAGTCGCAGCATCGCCTGGTGTAGTAACAACAGTAGATGTTACTGGATTATTTGCATTGTTATTGACAGCGATATTATCAGTTGAACTTAGCAATTTTTCTTTTGTCACGTTTTGTACGCTCGGTATGCGAGGTGGCCCCCACGCACCTTTATCGCTTACTGAACGGTTACTGGAATTGAGCTCTCCATTGTTGTTTTTGTTATAGTTGTTGCTGTTGCTGCTGCTGTATGCCGAGTCGTGAAATTGTGCTGTAGTTTGCGGTTGCTCACCGCTAACAGTGTCATAAGTAACAACATTATCGTCATCAGTGGCAACACAGCCATTGTCATCAATATGATTACCATCAACATCACCAATAGCAAGAGCTGTAACAGCAGCAGTAGCAGCAGCAGCGGGAGTAGCAACATTAGTACGTGTAAAGTTTTTCTCTGTCATTGCCATCAACGGTTTTGGCAATTTATCAACTGTCAATGGAGTTAAAGGAATGGAAGATGTCTCTGACAGAATTTGCTGCTGATGCTGATCCTGTAGTTGCTGTAGAGGTAACGGTGTTGACATATGCATCGTTTTTGGCTCCAAATATTTGTCAGAAGCCGTTGATGGTGCAGCAGTAAAATTGTCAATACTATTTGATGGCGTGGTGCATAAATTTGCTGACATTCCTGTTCTTGCCAAATTGATATCGGCAACTGTATAATTTGCATGGTTAAAATTACGTAAAGTTGGTAGTTGCGCCTCACTATTATTGCAGAATGCATCTTGCAAATCATCGCCATTGAAGTTGGTCGCATTTGTATTCATTTGCATTGTTTGCAGGCAACGTTGCGAGCGTGGCATGTAATTGTATGTTGCCAAAAAATCTTGCGGTACTGTTGCAGCTGCGGATGGTGTTGTAAGTAGCATACCAGCCGGTGTAGGTGTAGCCATTGCTAAAGTCCAATGATGTGGCGTTAAAATTTCAGCGCAATTACTTGGCAATGCCTCATGCTGCTGTCGTGGTGTTAAACAAAATGTTGCTGGTAATGTTGCTGGAGTTGCTGCTGTTACCGATAGCAGATTTGTGTTTTCATTTCGGTTTGTTGCAGTTGCTGGCTGCATTGTGCTTTTGCCAAAATCATCATTAATAATTGATGTTGCCGTTGGCGTTGGTGCTGTTGGCACGAGTATTGGTATTGGTGTCAGTGCTGCTACTGCTGGCGATGCTGTTATTGTTGGCGTTGCACTCGTTTGTTGCATTTGACGTATTGTCTGGCTTTGCATCAATTTCGCAAAGTACATTTCATATTGCAACTGTAAAGAAATTATGATATCAATAATAATAAACCGTTCATAAATCAACGACACGAAACCACTTTTCAACTCACCTTCAACATTTTCAAGCGTTCGCTGCGAGCTGACATGGTTGCTGCTTGCTGATCGATTCGCTCCAGCATCTGCACCAACATTTTATTACGTTCATTACGTTTTCTTTGCTCCTCCAGGAATTGCTCGTACTTCTGACGGGTTTTCATTCGCACCAATTTATCGCTACAACAGTTCGGGAAATCAGATACGATAAATGAATTAAAATTAATTGCTTCTTTCTTACGCAGCTCATCACAACTCAACTCAACTCAACTCAACTCATTCAGATACAGATATTTAAGATTTAAATTCAATTTGTTGTTGTTACTTACTGTTCATTGCGCTTGTGAAGTATTTGTGTCAGTTTCTGTTCCAATTGTTGGCGATTGTTTTCACTGCAAGTGTAAAGGACGAAGGAATTTATTTACGTCAAGTGTAGCAATGATGTTAATTTACTTTTTGATTAAGAAAATAATTTACAAAAATAAAAGGGACGATTTAGATTGAAAAATATTTTAGTTTAAGATCTTGAATTATAATTAACCAAATGAAAATGTTTTTTAAGCATCTTAGATTCGTTTTAAATAAATAAATGGTATATTATTTGTTTGTATAATTCTGTTAAAGAATGTCAATACGAAATCACACTAGTTTCATAAGATAATAAGAAAATTACTATTTGAAAGTCATAGTTTTTAATTGTGTATAACAATGTATAACATTACACCTTCGAAAATGTTATTTCATAAGATAGACGCGTTAGATAGTAGTTAATGTGAGATAGCTATTACGCGATGGATGTTAGGCTTAACTCGCGATAGTTGAGGTCATCTTTTTTCAAGTCTGAACAGAGGGTACTGAGATTCCAACTGTTCGGAATACTTTTGTCAAAGCATATTCTGTAGATGAGCTGATGTCGTCACCGTCAGCCTTTTGGTTTCTTAGTTCCTGTATAGTAACACGTACTTCAAGTATATATACCGAGTATATAGTTTCAAAGAACTTAAATATATACTTTTCAAGAACTTAAATATTTATCCAGATATAGGATTTAAGAGAAAATCAAAAAAATGTATGTATTCAAAAAATACTTATTCATAATATTTACGTATAAGTAATAGTTTTCTAAAATAGTTCAATTTGTACAACTGTTTTTAGTCCATTAAATATTCGTTTAATTCATCCCTATAATGTTACTGTTCTTAAGTGGGTTGGAATAAATAATAGGTCAAAGTTAATTTTTTCGAAAATTTACTATCAAAAAAGCTCTTTATCCAATAAGTATTAATTATTTTTAAATTCTTTTTTTATATATGAATATTCCAATATTTTGAGAATATTTTTTCTGAAAAAAATTCATTGTGCCATGAACCGTGATCAATTTTTTTTATATATATACATGTAGAAGCTGACAGATGGAGATATATATATTTGTATTGTTATGGTCATGAATTAAGTTATTTAGTTATATAGTTTCCCAGTTTCTTAGACTTGTCACAGATACTTTTTTCCACAAAAGTATGTAAAAACTAATGTCTAGAAAGATTGGGTCATAAATAAAAAAAATATTTCTTATGCCATTTAACTGGTTCTGATAACTTAACTTAACTAAACCAAAATCTGACATCCGAATAAAACAATTCAGAAAAATATTTTTACTTAATCCACTTAAACCACTAAAAACACTTAAACGCACTAAACGCATATATTACCTCCTCTGCAACTTCTCCTGCAGTAACTCCACTTGCAGTTTATAATTATCCAATTCAGTGTTGGGATGCATTTCGGTTGTCTTAGCAATATTTTATTATTTTTAATTTTTATGTATAAATCTGATTGAATAAATATTTACACATTTCACTTTACATAAACCACAAAACAAACTTAACGGTGACAAAATGGAAAAATGACTGAAGTTAGTTACAAAGCGAATTTGGCATGAACTAAACACGTACAAAGGCTGCACACAGTCTGACATAATTTGGTATTAATACTGTCGTTAGCAGACATACACACACACATATACATTCACATATCACAAGACCGCGGTCGCTGGTAAACACAAAACAAAACACGCACATTTAAACAAATTTCAGCTGCTTTAGGTTTTGGTTAATTTGTTCAATGCTGCTCCCCTGCCTTCGCATAAGAAACTTTGGTTTCTGCTTCTTACGAGTAAGAGAGTCAAATTATGCTTTTACTTGCTTTTAATTCCGTTTTTCTATTTTATTTATTTTATTTTGCATTTTTATTATTCTGCGACAAAAATTCTTGGCTTTAAGAGTTTTAAGTCATTCCTTAACTAAAAATAGGTTTGTTTATTTTATGAAAATTATCATGAAATGTTTCTATGGCAACGGCAAATACTGTATTGAATAGTTATTGTTGTTATTACTATTGTTGTTGTTGTTAATGTTTTACTGTTGGTGGTTTGCTGGTACAAAGCAAAAGCAAAAGCAATCGCACATACAAAGTGGTTGGTTTATACATTGCTGTTGGCGTTGCTGGCTTTCGTGGCAGTTGCGGTGTTAACCAACACAACATGTAAAATATTCGAGGTACACGCAACATCTGCTATTGATTTTGCTTGTGTGAGTGAAATTGGAATTATGCTTTTAAGTAGCTATAACCGCGGTTGCATTGGCCTTAAGTGGTTACAAATTATTCGTATCGGAAATTCCTATTGAAATTTATTAGCTATTTAAATATTGTACAAGTGCACGAAGTTTTAAGATTGTATGTTTTTGAAGTGAATAATTTAATTAGGTGACATTGATAGTTATAGAGTTTATAAAATATTTTTGAACCTCATATGAGCTCCTTTCATTTAGATTATGAGAAATGTAAATTATATTTGTTTCTTACTGATCCGAAATCCGAGATTCTATATACAATATATGTGTATATACATTTTATATATTATCAATAGTGCTATATACGTCCAATCAATTCTATTTATATAGCATCCATTTAAAAGGCCGTTAGTCCATATAAAACAACGATGTACAATATTTTAAGAAATTATTGAAATTTGCATTTAAACCGCAATTACCCAGTAACGTTTATAACAGCCTTGTTTTGAAAGTTTTGAGTGTTATTTAATAATTATTTATACATATGACTTTATATAAGTTCTTTTATGTATATTCATCTACATACTATGTATAAAGTTATTATTACTTTTAACAATATATTATATACATATATTATTCAATAAAAATAATGTTAAAAGTAAATTTTCACTATATCCATCATAAGAGTGATATTTTCATTTTTTTTACCATTTAAAATTTTCTGCTGGGTTATTTCTATTTGATTATTTGAAACAGCGGATTGTTTGTGACTCTGTATTTATACATAGATATATATATCTATATAACTATAACCACAGGGTCTTTCGTTAAGCGACACAACTATATTTTTTGGTTATCCAAATAAATTGCTTGATCATTTTAAATTATTTATAATTCTTAAAAATTGTTTGAAAGGAATCCTTTAAAACTTAGATGGCTTGATATTAATTAAAGTAACCTTCGATCTATTTATCTACTTGCGATCATATATATTTCGATTATGTGATTAAATTACTTGATCATTGTAATTTATTTATCTTCTAAAATTTTTTTGAAGCGAAATCTTTTCAAAAAAACAACTACCTCCAATTTTCATTTTGTAGGTGATGCAGATTAAATTATCCTGAATAAAACTAAGAGTATGGCATTATACAACACGGATTGAAAACAATGTGTTGTGGTCATATACCCTGAAATACAACCACATACTTTGAACTGTATATATTTCTGAAGTAATTCAATTAGATATATGTTAAGACATTCCGGTTGAGTGTTAACAGTCAATGTATTTCAAAACAAACAGGCTTAGAGGTCAATGTTTTTAAAAAAATCAGAAAAAAACTTGTTCAGGTTGTGGTTTCTATAAATTAAATTAGAAGTTAGAGATTCTGGTTAAAAACCGTTGTGATTCAGAAACGGTTCACACTAGCGGTTTAAACTAATGTTATTAAGAACAAACTGACAATATTGACCACAATGTGATTTATTAATATGTTCATGTATATTATACTTGTAAATCTCAGATTTTTGTAATTCAGCACTGGTACAAAGTGTTTCATTATAAGAGAAATGCTGTTCAGTTCGTCCTTTGAATAATCACAAGTAAAAGTCAGAAACTTTATTTACAATCGTTGCTTTTTAGAAGCTGTACAGTACGTATGCTTATATACAAAAGTATCTAACTACAAATAGAGACATATGTGGATATGTAATCATATGTGTATTTGTGGCTGTATTTTGTTTGATAAAATTGAAATATTTTAAATACATTTAATTTTCTAATTTTTTATAAAATCGAAATTTTATTTACTTTACTCGTTTTTCATGATAGAGTTTTTGTATTCCATTTGGTATCAAAAGTGTTGTTTAGATTGTGGATTTCTAAATTTTGAACCATTTTCTAACAGTTATATTAAAATTACAGATACTACAAACTATCAAAAGGACCTCATTTCCCTTTACGTTTATGTTTTGTTGCTTTTGAAATTTCACTTTCTACATAATAAAAGTAATTTTTTTAAGCACATTTGGGTCGGTCATGTACAACGTTGCGGTTCCCTGGAGTTCTTGTTTAAGTTGTAATTACTATGGGACTAGGTCAGTACGGTTTGGTGCGTTGTGCACTACTTAAAAATGGAGTTAAAATTATATACTTGAACACCAACAGCGATAGGGGAATGCAAGGGGAAAGCAGAACTGACATGCAATGTCGCTGCAGTCTGCAGTAGAACGACATGTTGTCCTTCAATCTAAACACAATTTGTTTAGGGAAAAATGTAAATAATAAAACAGTAAACAAAAACTTTGACTATTTGTGAAACATGCAATTTCGAATTTTTTCTTATGTATTTGCATATAATGTTGATTTGATTGTATAAAAACGAATTTCTTTATTTTGATAAAGGTTTAATTTTTAAATTTCAGTTGCTAGAATAAAAAATCCAACTGCAAATGATTTTATCCTTTTTTTGTAAACACTACACCACAATTGCTTAGTCAACCATTAAGTAGCGCTTGAATGCACAGGTACAGAATTACACAAATACACAAAAACACAAAAACTCAAATACGCAAAAACAGAGTTGATTATCGCTGCTGTCATTCGAATATTTCGACACTCAGCGCTCACGCGGCAAGGCATATTTTATGGCAGTGCAACGGTTTCGGTTTCGGCGGTTATTGTATGCAGCCCGCCTATTCAGGCAGTTCAATGGCACCGCACATTTATGCCAAATTTGTCCAGTAACATTGCCTAGTTGGGTTTAGTTGGGTTTCAGTTGCACGTATCTGGAGTTGTGTGTGCAATTGTCTATTTGCATTGC